TGTTAGTTAATTTGTTGTCGAGTGGTAAATACCTGGTACAATCAATTTGAACGTATCTCCAATAACATGTACGACAAGGATACTAAAAAAACCAGCTGTTCTTTGAGTTACTTATTCAGTTTTCTTTGTATATCTAAAAAAATGTCGCAGTCTCTATCTCTGTGTGTGTGTGTGTGTGTGTGTGTGAAAAAAAGTGTGTACTTATGTGTTTGTGTGAGAGTGAATGCTGTTCCCATTAAAAAAATTCGTTAGGCCTACTTCCATTTTAAGAATTTACCACTTTTCTCTCATCTCATTTAATTTCACCAAAATGGATCCTAACCTCAAAATACTAGTTCTCTGGTTCCACATCCAGAGACGAGAGACTCTTTGTGGTTTGCCTGTTTCGGGTGTCATGTTCCAGTGGAAAAATGAAATTTGAATATGGCTAACGACAACAGTAATTTGTGCAATAAAATAGAGATTTGTCTCCATTCTAGCGGAATTTTAGAACTGAAGATGAAACAACTTACATTGATGCATTTCTAATATAACAGTTTTTTCTTTAGGATTTGGTACATTTAGCTGTTTGATTTGAAGTCTTATTTTATATATTAAAGACTGAAAGAAACTAAAAATATCTTTCAATTTAGCATTCCTAAGCAGACCTAAGCAGCTTTGCCCTACATATACTTTGCACATACAGACAATTGTTTGTTTTCTCTAAAAATTACTCAGCATAGGTCCTATAATGCCGTTCCATCCCACGATTCCTATAGGAGCAGCTGCACAATGAGCATGCATAGAGCTAACATATAAATTTAGATGTAGATATATATAGATAAGACCGAAACAGGCGAGCCTCGTGCAAACATTAATCTGTTATCTAACTTTTTGTGTGTTTGTGTCTATGTATGTGTGTGTGAGTGTGAGTGTGTGTTTTCTTTGAATTGAGTGAATTTAAGGTTTTTTGATTTACTTTAAAATATTGTTTAGGGTTTTTGTTTTTCGACATTTTGTGCCTGTCTCTGTACAGATGGAGATTACACATGGAGTATATATAAATTTAACATTTTTTGGTTTCTTGGTGGGACTACGAGTACGTGTACAAGTTGGAGTTATATGAATAGCGTTATAGATAGTCTGTTGTTGAACTCACCTCAGATCTTTGGCATGTTTGGCACAGGTGCCACGCACACATGCCACGCACACATGCGTGCCCCTTAGACTGTCTGATCTTAATTGCTTTTTTTTTTATATATTATTGAAATGTGTTATTATTATCTTATTTTGGAGTACCTCGATGCTGCATGGAGTATGTGGTGGTGGGAGAGGGACGTGGCAATCGGCCAGAGATGTTGATGTTGTTGTTGCTGATGTTGCGTAGTATCTTCAGCTGATTTCATTTTGCGTTTCGAGTTTATTATGTTTTTGCTTTGTTTTTTTATCATAGTTTGTTGCAGTTTTCGTTTCTTTTGTTTGCTTTTGTTAGCTGTTGCTGTTGTTGTACCAGCGGCTGTTTGTAGCTTTGGTTGTGTCCTAGTAACGGCTGCGACTGCGACTGCGACCATGCCGCTCCCGACTGTCGTGACGATAATGATGACTATGACTGCTGCGCCGACTGCTGCTGCTGCTGTTGTGGCTGCCACTGCGCGAATACGAATGGCCGTGGTGCGATTTGTGATGATCTGTGCAAGGGTCCAAACAAACATTTAGGCAGTTAATAAAACAAAATGCAAAACCAATTATAAATAACTGTGCCGTGCGCAAACTTACGATGCCGCCTGTCCGACGATTGACGATTGGGCGGATAGTCACGACTGCGTTCCCGATAGTCGCGCTGATCACTGCACGAATTCAAGTGGAATAGATATACATACATACAGAGAGAGAAAGAGAGGAAGAGAGAGCATATATATATATTACATATGCATATATATTTAAATGTAAAGTGCAATGATTTACCGTCTGCTCTCGTAGCTATTGTGAAAGCGTTGCACACGATCATCGCGCCGCTTGCGCTCCTCCTCTTCGTGCTCCTTTTGTCGCCGCTCATTGATCTCGGCAACAGCATTGCGCAGCTTGGAGTAGCCCAAATGCTGTTTGCCCATCAAATGGTCTTCGATGCGCTGCTGGGCATCGCCCACAATCAGAAAAGCGCCGCATATTTCGCACACCTTCATTTGTTTTTCAGGCAGCACTTCGTGCGACCAATTCGCCGTCTGTTTGCCATCGCCCTTGGACTCCGATTTGTTGTCATCGGCTGAGGGGGATGCAGCCGCTCTGGGCGAAGCACATTCGCTTGATGGAGAGCTTGCAATTCCTGTTGCCTCATCGGTCGTTTCATTGGGTTCTTTGCTGTCGAGCGCAATCGTATTGCCAGCTACGTTTTCTATGCTGGAGCCGGGACTGGCAAGCGGCAGCTGTTCTCCTATTGGTGCTTCGTTTATTGTTGGTGTGGTGGGCGTGGTTACAGCTGTTGTTATCGATGTTGGCGGCGGCGCACGCAACTTGTGATAGCTTTTCATGTGCGCCTCATATTGCTGATGCAATGATTCCTTCTCCTCTTTGAGCTCCTCGCACATGGCCATCAGATCCTGCGCTTGATCCACATCGCCGCGGATGCCTGCCTCCTCAGCCTCGGCCATCAGTTTGTTGATCCGTGCGGTTAGATTGTTCAGATGCTCCTGCTGCTTGGCCGCTTGCGACATTGTGCCCGAAGGATGATCGCGCTGCATCAGCTGCAGGCGCTGCTTGCCCTTCTGTATCTTCCGATCGACATCGTGCAGCATCACATTGCAGAAGCGCAGAAACTCATCCTCCGTATGGCGTTTGCGCTGCGATGGACGCGCCTCCTCGTACAAATGTTTCGCCTCCTCGTCGTGGATGCGTGTGCAAGGACCCAAATCCGCACGAGTATTAATAAACAGATCATGCGGACAGAATTTCACATTGTAAAATTGACAGAACTGGAAAAAACAGAAAATAATATCAAATTCATTATATGAATTTAGGATATTAATTAAATAAGATGGCATTCAGCTTCCAACATAACTTTTCAACAAGTGTATGTGCATGTACTTAATATCTGAACTACTTAAGAGTAATTCAGAACTTGTTATGAATGGAAGCAAAGTTTAAATGGGCAGCACTGCAAGCATAATTCAGATCGTAGCACGACTTTCGCTATGCACTGTACTTAGCCGGCAATGGAAACAATGCAATGTAAATCATCTCAAATAGGTTTGACTTTGCCAAGAAATGCGATTATATCACACTAAGGACGTCTATAATGATACTGCAACATCATGCGTATTCTGGTTGTAGCTTACCTCTGGATCTTCCCAATTGACCGCTTGCCCAGCCTCAGATGGATGCAAATTTCGATTGCGACCCATTAGCTCATCGAGCATTTGTCTCGCAGCGTCCACCATTTTAGCAGTGTGTGTGTGTGATATTTGGGTGGGTGTGTGTGTGTGTGTGTGTGTATGTAGGTGAACTGCTGCTGCTGTTTCTGCTGACTGGCTTAAATCAGTTTGACAGTCGCAGGTGCTGTACAAACTTTGTTGCTATTATTGTACTGGTGTAGCGCACGTTTAGAAGACGTATTCCATTAAATTGACTCTGCAAAGTATACAGCTCATTTAGCCAACTCCGGGATCAATAATTCCCCAGTCAGCTCTCACGCGTTAGCGATGGTAACTTTAGCAAAGACCCGCCGTCGGAAGGCCAATATCGCAATGCTGCCGGACTATTGCCCGTCGCCAGCATTGCGCGCCTAACTATCGATTAGTTTTTAATTTAAATCAAATTATGGATATAATAAGTAGATAAGAAGCGACTTTCTTATAAATATATAGCATATTATTATGCTATACAACTATTATTACGATCGATACAATCTCACAAACCCATTTACGCAAAACGATAACTGAGCTGTGCTACGATCGATAATTCACATGAAGCGAATTGACAGCGCGAATTGTCAAAAAAGGCGCGAAAATTGGCACAAAAACACGCAGTAAATAGCATCAGAGTCCGCACACAGTTTTTGCGCGTTTCAAAGTTATTTGCTGTAAAAGAATTAAACGAAATGGATGTTGCGGATGCACAAATCGGACAGCTGCGCGTTAGAGATGAGGTTGGCATACGCACCCAAAAACTCTTCCAAGATTTCCTTGAGGAATTCAAAGAGGATGGTGAAATTAAATATGCTCGCCCCGCTGCCAATCTCGAGTCGCCCGATCGCTGCACGCTCGAAGTGAGCTTCGAAGATATGGAGAAATATAATCAGAACCTGGCAACTAGCATTATTGAGGAATATTATCATGTGTATCCGTTCCTCTGTCAAGCCGTCTCCAACTACGTGAAGGATCGCATTGGCCTAAAGACCAACAAGGATTGTTATGTGGCCTTCACGGAGGTGCCGACGCGGCATAAAGTGCGCGATCTGACAACCTCGAAGATTGGCACCTTAATCCGTATCTCTGGCCAAGTGGTACGCACACATCCCGTCCATCCGGAGCTTGTGTCCGGCACCTTCATGTGCCTAGATTGCCAAACGGAAATCCGAAATGTTGAGCAGCAATTCAAGTTTACCAATCCGACCATTTGTCGCAATCCCGTGTGTGCAAATCGTCGTCGTTTCATGCTGGACGTGGAGAAGTCTCTCTTCCTCGACTTTCAGAAGATTCGCATCCAGGAGACACAGGCGGAGCTGCCACGCGGCTGCATACCACGCGCCGTCGAGATCATATTGCGCTCCGAACTAGTGGAGACGGTGCAGGCTGGTGATCGTTACGATTTCACCGGCACCCTCATTGTGGTGCCGGATGTGAGCGTGCTGAGCATGCCAGGCACCAGAGCCGAAATGGGCTCCCGCCATAAGCCGGGCGAGGGCGGTGACGGCATCACCGGACTCAAGGCTCTGGGTGTGCGAGAGCTCAACTATCGCATGGCATTCCTTGCCTGCAGCGTCCAAGCAACTACCGCACGCTTTGGCGGCACAGATCTGCCCATGTCCGAGGTGACGGCGGAGGACATGAAGAAGCAGATGACCGATGCCGAGTGGCAAAAGATCTATGAGATGTCCAAGGACCGCAATCTCTATCAGAATCTGATCAGCAGCCTCTTTCCCTCGATATATGGCAATGATGAAGTAAAGCGCGGCATACTCCTGCAGCTCTTCGGAGGCGTGGCCAAGACCACAACGGAGAAGACCTCACTGCGTGGCGACATAAACGTTTGCATTGTCGGCGATCCGAGTACAGCCAAATCTCAGTTTCTTAAACAGGTCTCTGATTTCTCGCCACGCGCCATCTACACTTCGGGCAAGGCATCCTCTGCAGCGGGTCTCACAGCCGCTGTAGTCCGGGACGAGGAGAGCTTCGATTTTGTGATTGAGGCGGGCGCCCTCATGTTGGCAGACAATGGAATCTGCTGCATTGATGAGTTCGACAAGATGGATTTGCGCGATCAGGTGGCCATACACGAGGCCATGGAACAGCAGACCATATCGATAGCTCGAGCCGGTGTTCGGGCCACACTCAATGCACGCACCTCCATTCTGGCTGCTGCGAATCCCATCAATGGACGCTACGATCGTTCTAAGAGTCTGCAGCAGAATATTCAGCTGTCGGCTCCGATTATGTCGCGTTTCGATCTGTTCTTCATTTTGGTGGACGAGTGCAACGAGGTGGTCGACTACGCGATTGCACGCAAGATCGTGGATCTGCACTCAAACATCGAGGAGTCTGTGGAGCGGGCGTACACGCGAGAGGAGGTGCTGCGCTATGTGACATTCGCTCGCCAATTCAAGCCCATCATTGGCATAGAAGCGGGCAAGATGCTCGTGGAGAACTATGGGCATTTGAGGCAACGCGACACTGGCTCCTCGGGCCGCAGCACTTGGCGGATAACCGTGCGTCAGCTGGAATCGATGATACGGCTGAGTGAGGCCATGGCCAAGCTGGAGTGCTCCAATCGAGTGCTTGAGCGCCATGTCAAGGAGGCTTTCCGTTTGCTCAACAAATCTATCATTCGTGTTGAACAGCCGGACATTCACCTGGACGATGATGAGCCTCTGGACGCGGACGATGGCATAGAGCATGACTTTGACATGGAGAACAATGGTGCGGCCGCCAATATGGATTCCGACGCACTGGATACCTCTAACAGTGCTGTCCAAAAGAAAAAGTTCACACTGTCCTTTGAGGACTATAAGAATCTGTCCACCATGCTGGTGCTGCACATGCGTGCCGAGGAAGCGCGCTGCGAAGTGGAGGGCACAGATACGGGCATGAGGCGAAGCGATGTTGTCACCTGGTATCTGGAGCAGGTTGCCGAGCAAATTGAGTCCGAGGATGAGCTCATATCAAGAAAGAACCTCATCGAGAAGCTAATCGATCGTCTCATCTATCACGATCAGGTCATCATACCTCTGAAAACCACCAGCCTAAAGCCCTTCTCCAAGAGCCCCAAAGCATCAGCTGCCGATGATGAACTGGAAAACGATCCGCTCCTTGTGGTTCATCCCAATTACATAGTGGAGTAGTACATTCTAATAACTAGCCTGCTCCACCATCATTCTCACATTTATTTCATTACATTCGTAGTTAAGTTTGTGCGTTTTTTTTTTTCTTCTTTATATTATATTTTCCATATTTACAGATGAATTTGTCTGAGAAAAATTGTTTTAGGTTAAGTTTCATCTTTTTCTTAAGAATTCATTGTAAGAGTTAAATGTAATTTAAGATAATTTACATTTAAATGATATAAAACAACAATTATGTTTTACGTGTAAGCCGTAGAAGTTTCTAATCTTTTCAACAAAATGCATTTAAACATAATTTTTTCCAAATACTTCGATTTTCGAAGGTTATGTCTTGAACAATTAATAAATAAAGTTTCTTTACAAAAATATTCAAATTACCATCTATCGATATATTAACCATTTCTACTTGATACCACTGTAGAGAGAATAGGCTCACGAACCGCATACAAGAGGCCCAGGACCAGGTCGTGAACATCGATTTATTCGCTTTGCAGCCCAAAAAAATCACCCGCTCTTGGCGTAAAAAAATAACGGAACTTAAGATATTTCGATTGTTTCTTTTTTTTTTTTAATTGTACATATGCGTTGGTAAATTGCCTAATTAATGACAAAGGCGGAGCAAAACAAAAAATAGAAAACTACACACAAAGCTTCTATCCGCCTTGGCATCCCTAACGTTCGAAGGTGTAGTGTTTGACGCCGTCAGCGGGATATTGCTTGGCAGCCACTGGCCGATACATTTTCTTATCCTCGAGCCAGTAGTATAGGGCTAGGCATCCACCCATAACGCCAGCAAAGCACAACATATAGTAGCTTTTGCTGTAGCGGGGATAATCGGGCTGCGAGTAGCGATCTTCGCTGTACAAATCATGATCCACTGAAATCTAACAAAGATATACAGCTATATAATCAATGTTGTTTAGCTTGAACTAATCAAACTTACTGGCTCATTAAAATTGCGTTTGATCTCGGGATAGTCATAAGGATAGTAGTTATCTTTATGCTCTACACCGAGGCCGCCGCCAACTTTTGGATAGTCGCCATAGCCGAGGCCATCATCTGCGTAGGGTTTGTACTCTTCGGGCAGCAGATAATATTTCTTGGCAGCTGCCTCGCGTTCCTTCTCCGTTTTTGGATATGGTCCCGGTTTGTAGTCCTTATTCCAGCCGGCGACTGTAAATAGACAAATGCAATTGTCAAAAGCTCGTCCGCAAAAGTTACGTAAACAAAACAGAAACTTTAACGAAATGCACTTACGATTGCGGACAATGTGGGCCTGCAGAGCTGGATTGACAGCGCTTAGCTTTTTGACCAGAGAAAGAGATTTCATTAACGCTGACATTCTGTAGTCAATGGCGTTATATGCTTCCCAATTTACAATTTATGCACAACAATTTTCTTGCTCGCCTCGCAGCAACTCGGCAGACGGCAGTCACAGCTGTTGCTTAGAGGTGAGCGATAAAAATACTACATCTACTCACTACGATGAATGTATTAATCGATATACACTCGGAAACGAAGCAATCGTCTATCGTACTTATTGTTATTGTTGTGTTGCGTGCCTGGTCCCCGCCAGTTGGAGAGCGAGTGAAATAAACGCGGCTTTATTCTGTTTGGCATCTGCTGTATTTAACTATTTACACATATATATATTATAAAAATGGTGCTACCGCTTTTGCAACGCTCTACGCTTCGTGGCGTCCAACAGTTGACCAAGCCATGGGCGAGCGCAGCGTGCAGTCTTCGTATGGTAAGGAGATTTATCGTGGAGTGTACGCGCTTATGTAATTTTGCATTTTATTTTTTGCCTGCACTGCCCCTTTTGGCCAACTTTTAATGCCCGAGTGCAATGCTCAAGAGCATTGAGCGGGAAACAAACCTCTCTAAAATACACTCACGCTCACAACAGAAAGCATGACAGATATTTCCAATTGGAATCTTTGCTGTGTGGCGATTGCCGGCATTTCATAATCAAGTATACTATGCAAATATGGTGTGATTATATTAAACGGTGCTCTGATAAGTTAAACATTGGTGGAGAAAAAGCTGCATATGAATTAAAATCACCTTTTAATGATGTCGCTCTTTGACAAGAACTTCAACAAGTTGTTCAGGAGTCCAACAAGATGAATGTGTGCCGTGTGGAGCATATTTTCTGTTTACCCCAATAGGATATTATGATTACTAATTGGAATTTACTGTGAAAGACTCCAACTAGAACTCAGCTTGAAATTTCGATTCGTCTTATTCAATCAATAATTTTGCTGCATATAATTACTGTAATTAGTTAGCCATGAACCATGAAGAAGACTATAGACATTTTTTAAATCTTGAAGCCTTGGTGATGATTTTTATCAAAGGCTGATATATGATTAGCATCTTCGCATAATGCATTCTTACAGTTTGACAGAATTGGTTTTCTTAGGGTATCTTTAAGTCAATAATCATTTTTCATTTTGTTGAATTCGATTTGGCACTCACTTAATAAGTTTACATATATGTACTAGATTTCAAAAGTTTTGCTTTACATTCATATATACAGACACATTTAGATTTGTATGTATGTATGTGTATATTACATATTCTGAAAACTCGCTTCTGTCAGCTGTTTTAATACACACAAAAATAAAGGCAATTTTTCAGGTTTTTTGATGTTGAAAACCTGTTAATTGTATTTAGTTGATGCTCTAATTGGAGCTCGATTGTCACATAACTGTGCGAACTCTATTTAGCCTTATCATCAACACTGCTTGGCATCCACTAACGACCGTTGCTTGTTAGCAGCGCCTTTGCTTTGCTGTAATCTCCCACAGTTTAATTGTTTGTTTTTTACTCAATTGTCTTATATTTAGCACTTACTTGCGGCTTATTTACATATAGAGGGTCTATAAACTTTAAATCTCACACACACACATTCAAGCAGATTAGCTCACAGTCGCATGTACACATGCACAGGCGAACATACAGGCATAAATTGCGCTGAGCAGCCGAAAGCGCGCCCCGTGGGTCGCAATCCTATTTTTCCACATAGGCGCATTTTATATGCGCTACAGGAGCAGAGTTATTTAATTTAATCATATTTAAAATAAAGAATATATATTATAAATACAATTTTTATATACGATTAATTTATATGTTTACTCATTTCAAAGCTTAGACACGCTTTAAGCTGTGTCGTTAAGTTCAGTTCAAGTTCAATTGAATGGGTCATTCATGAACCGTGCTCAATGAACAATTTAATTGCACATCCTTGCGGAGCTACTGCAGAATGAATTTATGCGTAAAACGATTAATCGAAATTAGATTCTTCATAGCGATTGAGCTGATTTTGCCAACTCCTGTGTTAAATGAACGATTAAATGACATTTAACTAAAGTTATGCGAGGAATTCAACTGAAATTGACAAACCGCAGTGTACGGCATCAACGAATCATGCTGGCCCAACCCAAACTACACGCCTTACTTGCTGAGCTCGTTCTTGCTTTGATTTTTTGCCACTGTCCGCATTTTGCTGTTGTCGACTTATCTGATTCGCCAGTCATACGACGGAGCCGCTGGCGAACGGAATCATTTAATTACGAGTAGCTAATTCAAGCATAATGGTCAGCCACCTGCTTTGTATTACTTACATACCTATGCATATATGTATGTACAGTTATGCATACCGTCTTATCTGTGTGTCCTTTCTCGTTGGCAGGCATCGCAGGAGTTTCGCGTGGAGAGCGACACGTTCGGCGAGCTGAAGGTGCCCGCTGATAAATACTATGGCGCCCAGACAATGCGCTCCCAAATCAACTTTCCCATTGGCGGACCCACCGAACGCATGCCGGCAAGTATTTGAATCAAGATTAACAAATCTCTAATTTGTAGACTTATTGTGCGCTCGCCACAGAAACCCGTTGTCCAGGCCATGGGCATCTTGAAGAAGGCCGCTGCAGAGGTCAACAAGGAGTTCGGTCTTGACGTTAAGGTTAGCGAGGCCATCTCGAAGGCCGCCGATGACGTTATCTCCGGCAAGCTGTATGACGATCACTTTCCCCTAGTCATCTGGCAGACAGGCTCCGGCACCCAGAGCAACATGAATGTGAACGAGGTACGTTCACTTATTGACCATCTAGTGTTCCCAGCTTAACTTTTTGGTCATTCGCTCGTCAGGTCATCAGCAATCGCGCCATTGAGTTGATGGGCGGCAAGCTGGGCTCCAAGACGCCCGTGCACCCGAACGATCATGTGAACAAGTCGCAGAGCTCCAACGATACCTTCCCCACGGCTATTCACATCTCAGTCGCCCTGGAGTTGAACAACAATCTGAAGCCAGCGATCAAGACGCTGCACGATGCGTTGGCCGCCAAGTCGAATGAGTTCAAGGACATCATTAAGATCGGCCGCACCCACACCATGGATGCTGTTCCCCTGACCCTGGGCCAGGAATTCAGCGGCTATGCCCAGCAGCTGGCTTACGCCCTGGAACGTATCGATGCCTGCCTGCCCCGTGTCTACGAGCTGGCTTTGGGCGGCACTGCCGTCGGCACCGGCCTGAACACGCGCAAGGGCTTTGCCGAGAAGTGCGCCGCCAAAATAGCCCAGCTGACAGGCCTGCCCTTTGTCACTGCCCCCAACAAGTTCGAGGCTCTAGCTGCACGCGATGCCATGGTCGAGGTGCACGGTGTACTGAACACCATTGCTGTCAGCCTCATGAAGATCGGCAACGATATCAGATTCCTGGGCTCGGGACCGCGTTGCGGCTTGGGTGAGCTTTCACTGCCAGAGAACGAGCCGGGCAGCTCCATCATGCCGGGCAAGGTGAATCCCACACAGTGTGAATCCCTGACCATGCTCGCCGCTCAGGTGATGGGCAACCAGGTGGCCGTCACTATCGGCGGTGCTAATGGACACTTCGAACTGAACGTGTTCAAGCCACTGATTGTCTCCAATGTGCTGCGTTCCATTCGTCTGCTCTGTAAGTAAAGAAATAAATATAATCCGAAGCAGCTCTCATCCAATTTTTGTTCCTTCTCATCTTGCAGCCGATGGTAGTCGAACCTTCACGGCCAACTGTGTGAATGGCATAAAGGCCAACAAGGAGAACATTGCCAAGATCATGAACGAGTCGCTGATGCTGGTGACGGCGCTCAATCCCCACATTGGCTACGACAAGGCGGCCAAGATTGCGAAGACGGCGCACAAGAACGGCACCACACTGAAGGAGGAAGCCATCAATCTGGGCTACCTGACGGAACAGCAGTTCAATGACTGGGTGCGACCCGAGGAGATGCTGGGACCCAAATAGACATTGCCCTATCCCCATTTAGAGCTAAGCGTAAAGTCGACCTTGCGTTAGCTGTCAGAATGTATTTGGAAGCTAGACGGCATGCGTGTGTCCGAACTGTTCAGTCTCACTCCGAAAATTCAATAAAAATAATCTTTTTTTCGTCTTGAACATAAACTTTATGAAAAGAAACGAATAGATTTTTCATTTGAATTCCTATCAAAATTATCAATCGAAAGACTTGGTCAAAATGTTGTGCAAAAAGCGTAAACTCTTGTGCCCGCCGCACTTGGTCCTGAAGAGCTGGCATCACAATTTGGCCACAACGCTCTCGCTGCAAAATCAAAAGAAATCGAAGGGCGTAAGTTGTAGCCGCTGCTGTGCTGTGCAGTTTCCATTGCCAGGCATAACCTCACCAGCCTTTTGCAGGATGAAAAGTTTCGCGTGGAGAAGGACACCTTTGGCGAGCTGAAAGTGCCAGCTGATCGACTCTATGGCGCCCAGACCATGCGCTCGGTGCTCAATTTTCCGATAGGCAGCATTGGTGAACGTATGCCGGTAATTATGCCCGTATCTTGCCCTCTCCCTCTCCTCCTGCCCCTCTTACAATATTACAATCAATTGTCCGTGATATGTCCAACAGAAACCCGTCGTTCAGGCCATGGGCATTTTGAAGAAGGCCTGCGCCAATGTCAATAAAGAGTTCGGCATGGATGCCAATATAGCGGATGCTGTGTCGTGTGCCTGCGATGAGGTCATCTCTGGGGAATACTACACCAAGGGCCATTTCCCGTTGGTCATCTGGCAGACGGGCTCCGGCACACAGACGAACATGAACACCAACGAGGTGATTAGCAATGCAGCCATCAAGGCAATGGGCGGCGAATTGGGCTCCAAGAAACCCGTGCATCCCAACGATCATGTGAACAAGTCGCAGAGCTCCAACGATACCTTTCCGGCTGCTTCGCACATCTCGGTCGCTTTGGAGCTCAATAGGCGTCTTATACCAGCCATTTCATATCTACGGGATGCACTGCATTGCAAGGCAGTGGAGTACAAGGATATCATTAAGATCGGTCGCACCCATCTGATGGACGCCGTACCCATGACTCTAGGCCAGGAGTTTAGCGGCTATGCCCAGCAGCTGACGAATGGGCTGGCACGCATCGATGCGTGCCTGCCGCGAGTCTATGAGCTAGCCCTGGGCGGCACGGCCGTGGGCACCGGACTGAACACCCCCAAGGGCTTTGCAGAGAAGGTATCGGCGCGTATCGCCGAGCTGACAAAACTGCCCTTTGTCACAGCGCCCAATTTCTTTGAAGCTCTCGCAGCACGCGATGCCATGGTCGAAGTACACGGCGCACTGAACACCATTGCCGTCAGCCTCATGAAGATTGCCAACGATATAAGATTCTTAGGTTCGGGACCGCGTTGCGGCTTGGGTGAGCTCTCTCTGCCAGAGAACGAGCCAGGCAGCTCTATAATGCCGGGCAAGGTGAACCCCACACAGTGCGAGTCCTTGACTATGATTTGTGCACAGGTGATGGGTAACCAGGTTGCGGTAACAGTAGGCGGAGCCTTTGGACACTTTGAATTGAACGTATTTAAGCCTTTAATTGTGTCTAATGTGCTACGCTCCATACGCTTGCTCGGTGAGTAGCCCATGTGAAGGTAATCATCGACAATCACATATAATAATTGCTTTTTGCAGCGGATGGCGGCGTCAATTTTAGCAAGAACTGTGTGGAGGGTATTGAGCCGAATCACGAGCGCATTGCCAAGATCATGAATGAATCTCTTATGCTGGTAACGGCTCTTAATCCCCATATCGGATATGACAAGGCCGCCTCAATTGCCAAGACGGCGCATAAGAATGGAACCACACTTAAACAGGAGGCTATCAAGGCTGGCATCACCGAGGAACAATTTAAGGAATGGGTAGACCCTAAGAAGATGCTGGGTCCCAAATAACTGTATCATCTTTTGTATCGAGTACTTTTTTAAATGCGAGATTTGAATAAAATATCTGACTGAACACATCGATTCTATCGCGTATCTTTTCGCGTATGTAACTATCGATAAAGGAATATACAATATTTTTTATCGATGATATTTCAGTACAGCTCTGTGCAACAAACCGACAGCTGTTTGTGTTTGTGAACTTTGTCTTGTTATTATTATAAAAATTAACCAAAACTCGAACACTAGTGCAAAAACAAATTATATTTTTGGCTATTTTATTTTTTATTCGTGTAGTTTAACGTTTCGCAGCTCTATATATATGGGCTGTAGGTCAAATCATTCGATGGTATATGTGATTATCTAATTTGCAACCGCAAAGCAGCAACAATTAATAATATCGATGTTTAGCAAACTTTTAACAAGGAAAGGTATATAAATAGAAACAAAACAAATACATACAAACAGCCCGACACGACTACGATCGTCTAGTGACAGCCGGAAAAGCAATCAACAAGGCGAGTTATATTTAAAAAATTATCCGTTTCCGACCATAGAACAAAATCGAAACTTCCATACACATTGTAGAAAAAAATATTGAAAACAGGCTTAAGAACATTTTAATTTGGATACCATAACCATTTGACTGTGTAGATATGTGCATACGTATATATTTCTAAAAAAAAATTAATATAAATAAAAAAAACAGCAGTGTCGGCAGCTATTTCTACGACGCAATACCAAAAAAAGAAAACAATCGTCAGCAGAGGCAGCCAACGATCGATATATCGATAGCTGGCGATCATACCTGAAACGCATGACAAAAGGTGGCGCCGCAGTCGTAAACAGCGACAAGGACAACAAAAACGCAACAAAAGCGCATCGCGAATATAATTAAAAGGTGAGCTCATTGAGAACTTTCAAAACAATACAATTACTATTTATCTCTTTTACTCTAYAGTCTTTTCGCTCCGTTACTGTCGCACAGTGCGGTGTTGTTGTTTAGTCGGAATAACAACAACAACAGCCACAATAAAACCGAACTGCTGTTGGTAAAATGTCTGTAAGACTGTTAACCGTGCGACTTGTTAAACATGGTCGCTACGTTTTGCGCAGCTATTGGAATCGTGAAATACACTCCAACATTTTGGAACAAAGCCAGTTAAAGACACGCAGCAAGCGAGGCTTTCCCCTATCATCCGTCAATGTTTTGCGGGTAAGTATGGGATAATATGGTGGTTCATATGTTTATATTGTGCCCCTATGCATCTCCTTATGTGCATATCTGCACTGCAAAGAGCGAGATAGCAAGATAGATAAAAATCCATGTTTAATTTATGCTAGAGATGACATTTACCAATTCAAAGCAATAAGCCAGATGGTGCATATGTTCGTTAGTGGAACAGCATACTGAGCTTAAGTGTAAACAAACAACACTGCAAAGAGCGAGACAGAAATAGAGATGAGTGAGAGGTTGGATGATAATAAGTAAACGAAGTTTCTGTTGCATTGAATGCTTTGACTGCTTTGCAGATGTCATCCTAGCATAATTTGACCGTTATTATCAAATATTCGCTTTATCGTATTTTTCTTCCATTTTGTTGCTGTTTAGAACTCAGCCGCACCACAGCCGACGGCAAATGTTGTGCCACGATGCAATCCGGTGTCCAGCGCGACGTCCAGTCCAGCGACCAGCGGACTCTTTCGCTTTGGCCAGCATGCACGCAAGCTGTTCATTGATAATATACTGAGTCGAGTGACCACCAACTACTCTGAAGAGCTGCGTCAGCGTGCGACACGTAAACTATTCTATGGCGATTCGGCACCATTTTTTGCCCTAATTGGCGTCAGTTTGGCCACCGGTTCGGGTGTGCTGAGCAAAGAGGATGAACTGGAGGGCGTTTGCTGGGAGATACGCGAGGCAGCTAGCCGCTTGCAGGCAGATTGGAATCGTGATGAGATATCCGAGACGTTGACCAGCAATTTCAATATCGATCAACTGGAGGTGGGTCCGCCCATAGCCAAAGGCTGTGCCGCTGTTGTCTATGCGGCCAACTTCAAGGAGACTCCCGTTACCCAGCAGAGCCCTAATACGTCCAGTGATACTAAAGCGCGTCCCACTGTGACCAAAGCAATGCCAACCCCCCCGAGCTCCAGCTCGACATGGAATCATGAATTGATGTCACCGCTACAGAATATGTCCCGTTTCGTTCACAATTTCGGCGGCTCCGTTGATAACATTTACAACTACAGTCAGCCAACTGCTGCTGCAGTCTTTGTAGATGGTCAAACTCAGATGTCAAAGCAGCAACAAGAGGAGCAACAGCAACAGTCGCAGCAGCAGCAGCCGCTGTCAGCTGCTTACAGTCAGCCACAACAACAACAACCACAACAGCTACAACAAATTCATGCAGAAAACGAATCCATTGAGCGATATCCCCTTGCCTTAAAGATGATGTTCAACTATGACATACAAAGCAACGCCTTATCCATACTGCGAGCCATGTACAAGGAAACGGTGCCAGCACGTCAGCGTCGCATGAACGCCAGCGCCGAGGAATGGGAGAGGCTATTGCAGCATCAGACCGTTACGCTGCCACCGCATCCGAATGTCGTCTGTATGTTCGGGTTCTTTTGTGATGAGGTTCGCAACTTCCCCGACGGCCACATACTGTATCCAATTGCGCAGCCGCAGCGCATCAATCCGCAGGGTTATGGCCGGAATATGTCGCTCTATTTGCTAATGAAGCGCTACGATTATAGCCTGCGCGGCCTTCTGGACACCACCGAGCTGAGCACGCGCACCAAAATCCTGCTGTTGGCCCAAATGCTGGAGGCCGTCACACATCTCAGTCGCCATGGCGTCGCCCATCGTGATCTTAAATCCGACAATGTCCTAATCGAGCTGCAGTCATCATCGCGCCATGATCAGTCTGCATCATCAGCGGCGCCACTTCTGGTGCTATCCGATTTTGGCTGCTGCCTGGCAGACAAGGTGCATGGACTGCGTTTGCCCTATGCAGCCAACGATATAGACAAAGGTGGCAATGCGGCCCTGATGGCGCCCGAAATCTTCAATACACAGCCGGGACCGTTCGCCGTGCTCAACTACAGCAAGGCCGATTTGTGGGCGTGCGGCGCCCTAGCCTACGAGATCTTTGGCCAACCCAATCCCTTCTATTCGGCCAGCGCTGGCATGGCTCGCGCCAAAGGTGAGCTCACGTATTCGCTACGGAATAGCGACTATCGACATGAGCAGCTGCCGCCGCTATGCGACGACTGCCCGCCGCTGATGCAACAGCTCGTCTACAATATACTTAATCCAAATCCGTCGAAACGCGTCAGTCCCGACATAGCGGCCAACGTGATGCAACTGTTCCTCTGGGCGCCATCCAAGTGGCTCAAGGCGGGCGGCATGCCCAGCAGCCCTGAGGTGAGCAATTCCATAACCATGCAATTCATTCCCAATTTCCACAATTTTATTTCTCCCATTTGTAGATCCTTCAGTGGCTTCTCTCCCTGACCACCAAGATTATGTGCGAGGGTCGTCCACAGCATGGCAACAGAAGGAGCAGCCGCAGCGCCCCGTCCAGCGGTCGGCATGCCTATGTAGAGTATTTGCTTATCTGCAGCTTTCTGGTGCGTGCGCGACTGCGTCGCATTCGTGGCGCTCTCAATTGGATACAAAATGTGGTCGCTGCGTAAATCGTCGGCGTTCGATTTATTTTGTAGAATGGACATATTTATTGAAAAGGAACGTTGTTTACATCTTGTTATTCGCCGCGAGGTGAACGAAAAATCAAATGAAAAAATGAAAAAAATAGATAAAGCGTGTGATACCTAATATATATACATATATATATATGCATA